TTCCTCTTAGGCTGAGAGAGTGGGACTTACCCAAGGTCACCTAGTGGATTTTCATGTCTAAAACAAAATTTGAACCCTGGTCTCCAGAGTTCTAGTCCAAACTCAAACTGCTACATCTCTCTGGCTCTTGTAAAAAGGTTCATGGTGCTTAAATATATTAGTAAACAATATAGGCCAGGAAACTTTATGATTTCAGGTTTCCTGCATTATGGTTTAAAATATAACTGAGCACTGTGCAGAAAGGAAGAGCGTTTTGGCTGCCAAATCATATACTTCACACTCATAATTCTATTTCAGTCTGACAAAACGTTTACCTGAATAGGCTAGACCACACACTCTTTCCCCACAGGTACAACACTCATGTACCAGCTATAAAACATTATGTCTTTTTAAAGGCACCCTGGAAGAATTAATTTTGAATAGAATATCTTATTTTCAGAACAGTGGTGCCCAGAACTGGACACAGTTGTTTTGTCCTATCTTTACTCCAGACTAAACACAGAAAATACACCAAGTTAGTATAATTGCACAAACTCTATGTATACTGAAATTCAAATATGTTTTTCTATTTATAAAAAGTATACTTTACTCATAAAATAGCGTTTAACATACATAACTGTATGCTAAACTTGAAAATGTAACCACTTTATCAAAGGAACAGCAAGATCTGTTTTGAGGCTAGGTATAATATAGTTTCCAAAATGCTTACAAGCAGGTACCTTGCAATTAAATGTAATAGCCAAATCACTACGTCCTGTTTACAAGAAGTGCGCCCCAAACAAGTCAGAACAGTAGGCTTATGAGATATGCTCTGGGACTTGCTTTGGCAGCTACCTCTACAATTTCTTCTTTAGCTAAGGACTGTAATTATTTCCTTTCATCTTGCAGGAGGAAAAAAGTCAAACAAAAAACAACTACTTTTCAAATATGTTCAAACATGCACATGACTCCCCTTTCTACAGCTTTACTACTGTGGTCCAAACTTTCCAACATGTTTTGTCTTTCTCAACCTCTTGGCCCAAGCCTCTTCCTTAAGAGTATCAAGTTAACCCGTTTTGGCAGGTTGAATAGATGAACAGACCAAATACATAGAACTACTCGACATAAATCTAGGGAAAGACATGTTAGCAATTGTTATGTCCCACTGGCCTTCTGCATTGTTTCCAACAGTAATTGACACGCCCAGGAATTTAACAGTACCAGACAGTTCCCTCTGCCCCATCTCGGGTGGAACACTGCTTCTCTGTTCTTTAATCTGATGTACAGATGTACATGCAGTTCCATTCAGCTAAGAAACAGTCCTCGTTCTAACACTCCATAGGAAGACATCACCAGAATATAGAGGAGTTTCGTGTAAAAATATACATTGCAAAGCACTCCTTAATACTATAGAGGTTCAGAGTTGTTTCCTCTGTTTCCATAGCCTGTCTTTCAAATGTACATCAAAATGCTTCTGCACTAAAGTGGGGGATGTCAGAATAAAAATGTGACACAACTCCTCCCTTGAAAGGGAGGGAGCAATCAAATCCTTGCCTTGCTCAGTAGATAGTCCAGACTTATCATTTATGACTAGGAGGGCCTTCGACACTGGTCTTGGAGGAGAGCAATGCGACTCGAGCCCCCTCCCGTGCAATGCTGTGCTAAGAGCACACCGTTCGGGTACTGCTCCCACACGCTTTCGCTCTCTCTCTGCAGCACGCATGCAGCGGCTTCCTACTGGATAGATGGTCCAGTGACCTTTGGCTGTTACAGAGCTGGGCAAGGAGCGGATCTGTTGCAGCAGTCTTCCTAGGCATTCCTCACATTCCTGCACTATCGGAAAGCTCCAGGAGCAAACAACGTGCCCCCTCCCACACACAAGCACACACACCTGCCCTCCCATTCGCCCAGAGAGCCAACCGCTTCCGTCCGTCTGTCGCACTCCTCAAACATGCAGCCAAAAAGGCAAGCAGCCACTACCCCTCCCAGTCTTCCCCCTACAAAGTGATTGCAGGGGCATAGGAGTTGTGAGGTCTGGTCTGCTTCAGAGGAAAGCCAGGACAGGGAGAAAGAGAGCGGGGAGAAAGAGAAAATGCCACTGGCACTCTATGGATTCTCTCCTCAAGCTTAGATGCAAGGAGCTCTAACAAGCAAATGGGGGAAATACAAGATGGGGCGAGGTCGAGTGAGGGTAGACTATACAGGTTAAGAAAGAAGGGTTTTTGGAGGGCCAAGACTGAGCCGAGGGAACAGGGAAATGAGGGGAAGGGCTTTTAAGAAGCCGAAGAAGCAGGAAGAAATGCCTGCAACGACAAGGAGAGAAAGGCTGAGGCAAAGGAATGGAAATAGAATTGAAGGGATGGAAAGCGAATTGTCAGGGTTTGGGAAGCATGAACAGGTTTGGGCATACTAGTCAGGAAGAGAGCTGTTACTGGCACTCAAGGAATGGGGAAAAGGCACACAGGAGTAAACAGATAACTAAAAGGCAATATCAGATACAGGATAAGGAGTGAAAAGCTTTACAGAAATTAGAGTGCATCCCTTTTAACAAGGGGCCAAAAATTAAAGAAAGGCCAGGAATTTTTTCAAAAGGCAATGTTCAGGGAGTGAACGACATCAGGTAAATTCCTGGTGAGGAAGAATAGCAAGTTACAATGAGAGGAATTTCAGGGGAGATAAATATCGTGAGATGAGTGGGGAGGGAGTTATTTCAGGACAAATGGAAACATTAAGAGAGTCTATGTTCTAGTAAAAGACTTGTGGGGTGCTGTATAGAATGGTACCCATTTCAACCAGTAAGCCCAAACTACACGAGGAAGGGCAAAGGAGACAAGTAATAAAAAGGAGGTGGCGGAATCTGCATAAAGGAAGTTGTTACAGGAGATAGGAGGACAGCTAAGGTGGAGCCTATTTATATTTAAAAAATTGAACAAGAAACTGATGGATATGGGCATCCTTAGAATTTTTTAAAATTGTGCCAGGAGCAACTTAAGAAATTGCAAGTCGCTTCTGGTGTGAGAGAATTGGCTGTCTGCAAGGACGTTGCCCAGAGGACACCCGGATGTTTGACCACACTGTGGGAGGTTTCTCTCATGTCCCCACATGGTGAACTGGAGCTGACAGACAGGAGCTCACCCCGCACCCCGGATTTGAACCGCTGACCTTTTGGTCAATAGCCCTGTCAGCACAAGAGTTTAACCCATTGCTCCACCACAACACACCCTTAGGATAAGAAATAAATAAATAAAATGTTTAGGATGGGAAGACACAGAAGGCAGAGTTGATGGAAGCAGAATATTGTCAGGATGATAAGATGGAGCACTCACTGCTGATTTACAAAAGAAAATAAGTAAAATAGGGAAATGGGTGGGGGGAAAGCACCCTAAAGATAAAGAGAAAGGGGGGAGGGGGAATTATGCTTAGGATGGGAAGATAAGGAAGGAGGAGGTATAGTGGGAAGGGGGGCAATGCAAAGGTTACTTAGAGGGTAAAGGAGAGGATCTTGGAAAGTGGGATGGGAAAGGAAACGAGAAAAGACAAGACAAGCAGCAATGTTTATGAGGAGAGGCAGTCCTAAGCAGAGCCAAACCAAGGAGACACACTGACCATGAGAAATAATTACACCGTAAATATAATAAAAATAAGATATAGTGGGGGAGAGGGGCGATGCAAAGGTTACTTAGAGGGTAAAGGAAAGGATCTTGGGAGTTGTAAAGTGGGATGAGAAAGGAAGCAAAAGGAGGCAAGATAAGCAGAGAGGAAGCAGTGCTAAGCAGAACCAAACCAAGGAGACACATTACATTGACCATGGGAAATAAATACATTTGAATATAATAAAAATGATATGATGATGGTGATACCACGAGGCTCTCAAGGGAGGCTGGCAAGTTTTGGGAGAATGATGGGGCAATTGAAACCCTCCTGTTTGAAACAAATACATGCAAATATAATAAAAAATAATGATATGATGATACCACAAGGATCTCAAGGGATCCTGGCAAATTTTGGGAGAATTATGAGGCAATTGAAACCCTCCTGTTTGAAACAAATACATGTAAATATAGTAAAAAATAATGATGTGATGATACCACGAGGATCTCAAGGGAGGTTGGCAAGTTTTGGGAGAATGAGGGGGCACTTGAAACCCTCCTGTTTGAAACAAATACACGTAAATATAATAAAAAATAATGATATGATGATACCACAAGGATCTCAAGGGAGCCTGGCAAATTTTGGGAGAATTATGAGGCAATTGAAACCCTCCTGTTTGAAACAAATACATGTAAATATAATGATATGATGATGATGATGCCACGAGGATTTCAAGGGAGGTTGGCAAGTTTTGAGAGAATGAGGGGGCACTTGAAACTCTCCTGTTTCGCAATGGGAGGTCAAAATTGGGGGTAATAATAACACTAACAACAATATAATAATAGTAATGCGATAAAGTAATAATGTGACCACAAGGAGGGGCAAGTTGGAGGAAAGGATGGGAGAGAGGCGAGCCAGGCTGGATGCCTCGTGCCTTCTTCCCCTTGGTCTCCCACAGGGAGGGAAGTTGCTGGAAGAAGGAGAGGGCAAGGCGGGGGTGAGGGTGGCGAGGAGCTGCCTCAGGATGCAGGGAGGCGACCCACCTGGCCCCGCGCCCTCCCCTCCTCCCTCCCCCCCTCACGCTCTTCCTTCCCTCACTCCCTCACTCACCGCGGCGCCGAGTCTTCGCTGGCGCGGAGGGGCCGCCACCGCCGCCTCCCCGCCGGCCGGGAAGGGCCCTACCCCGGGGCGCCCATGGTCCCGGTGCCGCCACCGCTGAAGAGAAACACGAAACCCTCCTTCCTCCCTCCCTCCCTTCCTTCGCCGCCTGCTTCTCCCCGCCCCTCCGCCAGACGTCAGCGCCTCGCCCTGCCCTGCGCCTCGCCCCGATTGGAGGAGCGCGCCGCGAGACGCCTCGCCATTGGCCCGCCGCGGGGCTCAAACCGCCCAATGGCGGAGCCAGCTGAGGTTGCCAGGGTTACCGATGCTGTGAAGAGGCCGGCGGGCGAGCAGGCGAGGAGGAGGAGAAGAAGGGGGGAAGCTGCACTTCCTTCAGGTCAGGCCCGGCCCAGGGAGAGGGGCTCTCTCGCACCTCCAGACCCCGCTACAGTCATCTACAGTTTGACACCGTTTTCAACTGCCAAGGCTCCATGCTGGGGGATCCTGGAAGTTGTAAATTTGGTGAGGCACCAGCACTCTTCGGCCGAGCAGCAACCTCGAGGCCTTCTGAAGCTACAGCTCCCACTATTCCATAGGATTGAGCCATGGCAGTCAATGTCTGCTCAAGCTGCGTTCCAATTTACAGTGTACATCAGGCCTGGGCAAACTTCGGCCCTCCAGGTGTTTTGGACTCTAACTCCCACAATTCCTAACAGGAATTGTGGGAGTTGGTCCAAAACCCCTGGAGGGCCGAAGTTTGCCCAGGCCTGATGTACACTGTACACTGTTTGCCCAGGCCTGATGTACACTGTACACTGATGTACAGTGTACACTGATGTACACTGTTTGCCCAGGCCTGATGTACACCTAACAGGAATTGTGGGAGTTGGAGTGCAAAACACCTGTAGGAATTGTGGGAGTTGGGGTCCAAAACACTTCAACCCTCCAGGTGTTTTGGACTCCAACTCCCACAATTCCTAAAAGGAATTGTGGGAGTTGGAGTGCAAAACACCTGTAGGAATTGTGGGAGTTGGAGTCCAAAACACCTGGAGGGCTGAAGTTTGCCCAAGCCTAATTCCTAACAGTTTGGAATTGTGGGAGTTGAAGTCCAAAACACCTAGAGGGCCAGAGTTTGCCCCTGCCTGGTGTAGATGCACCCCAGGGAGAAATTGGGAGGTAATGAGGGGAGGATGGGGACCAATAACAGCAAGAGATGCATGGACTTCAACTCCCACAATTCCTAACACTTAGGAATTGTGGGAGTTGAAGTGCATAACACCTGGAGGGCCAAAGTTTGCTCATACCTGGTGTAGATGCACTCCAGGGCGGTAATGGGGGAGGATGGGAAGCAATAACAGCAAGAGATGCAGGAACTTGTGCCCTAAGTAAACTCTATTGCTTCCCCACCACTTTCAGGATGCATCTACACCAGGCCTGGGCAAACTTCATCCCTGCAGGTTTTTTGGACTCCAACTCCCACAATTCCTAACACTTAGGAATTGTAGGAGTTGAAGTGCAAAACATCTGGAGGGCCAAAGTTTGCTCATGCTTGGTATAGATGCACTCCAGGGAGGAACTGGGAGGTAATGGGGGAGGATGGGAACCAATAACAGCAAGAAATGCAGGAACTTCTGCTCTAAGTAAACTCTGCTGCACTGGTTCTTAATCTGTGGGTCCCCAGATGTTTTGGCCTTCAACTCCCAGAACCCCTAACAGCTAGTAAATTAGCTAGGATTACTGGGAGTTGTTGGCCAAAACATCTGGGGACCCAAAGGCTGAGAACCACTGGTCTAGTGTTTCCTCCACTATTCTCGGGGTGCATCTATATCAGGCCTGGGCAGACTTGAGCCTTCCAGTTGTTTTGGACTCCCAACTTTCACTATTCATAACAGTTAGGAACTGGGAGTTGAAGTCCAAAACGCCTGGAGGGCCAAAGTCTGCCCCTGCCTGGTGTAGATGCACCCCAGGGAGGAACTGGGGGGAGGATGGGAACCAATAACAGCAGGAACTTGTGCCCTAAGTAAACTCTACTGTTTCCTCACCACTCAGGGTGCACCAGGCATGGGAAAGCTTTGGCCCTCCAGATGTTTTGGACACCAAATCCCACAATTCCTAATATTCCTAAGACCAAAACACCTGGAGGGCCAAAGTTATCTACACTGTAATTAATGCAGTTTGATCCCACTTTAAGTGCCATGGCTCTGCACTATGGAATCCTGTAATAATAAAGATAATGATAATGATAATATTCTTACCCGCCTCTCCTCATGGCTCGAGGTGGGTTACAAAACAATTAAAATACATAAATACGGCTAATGATGATGGGATGACGAGGAAGCAGAACTCAGGCAGAGAAGATTAAATGCCTAGTAAAATTTCTAATCCCATGCCACCATAGCGTTGAGCCATGAAAATTAAAGTGGTGTGAAACTGAATTAATTCTACAGTATAAATGCACCCTCAGAAACTTCTTCATCAAATAGATTAAAGCCACACAGGCAACATGCCTTTTAAATAGTACTGTTGTCCGGGTTTGCATTTTCTTTGCAGCTCTTTTTTTCCTTCTTCTGCTGTTTCCCTCATACACATTTTCTTTCTTTCTTCCCTTTATCTTCCTTCACTTCTCTTCGCTTCTTTTTCTTTCTAACCTCCCTCCCCCCCCCCCTTTTCCCATTCCTTTCTCTTTCTTTCCCTTCCCTCATACCTTCTCCCCAGGCCCGTAGCCAGGATTTCGATTTGGGGGGAGGGGCGGGGCTGAGTTTTTGTCAGGGTTTTGGGGGGGGGCTGAGTTTTGGGGGGGGGCTGTGTCTGAGTGAAAGAGGGTCTACCCTAGCAAACCTTTTGTATCATTACCCCAATACCCCCATGCATATGGGATATATTGAGTATGGTGATCAGATCATGATATGAATAAACATAACAGTTTAAATAATGCACCAGTAAGGCCTTTTCGCGAACCACCATAAGAATTTCGGGGGGGGGGGCTGAAGCCCCTCAAGCCCCCCCCCCCCCCCCGGCTACATGCCTGCTCTCCCCTTTCCTTTCTCTTCCTTCCCTCCTTTTTCTTTCTTCTCTCTCACTCTTTTCCTTTTTCCTTCCTTTGTTTCCCTTTGTTTTCCTTCCTCCCTACCTTCTCTGCATACACATCACTTAGCAGCAGCCAATCTACTTCCCTCCCTTTCTTTCCCAAGTATGTTACAGAGGGCCACTTCACCTAGCAACAGCCAATCCACTTTGTTCCTTTTCTTTCCCTCAACTCTGCTGTATTTTTGTATTTGTCCCTAACATATATGAGATATATTTTATTTACTTTGTGTGTGTGCATGTGTGTGTATCCTTCCCACAAATTTTGTTGAAGATTGTGGAGATGTACTTTACTAAAGGCAACAGGTCCAATCTGATTTTGCATGCGAAGGAAGGTCAGGCCTGATTAATACTTGGATGGGACAGCCAACACATACGGTCCTATGGGCTATATATATTTCAAAGGAATAGACTGATAAAACTACCTCTGAGTATTCCTTGCCTAAGAAAACCCTATGAAATGTATAAAGTCACCATAAGTAGACAGGTGACATATTCACACACACAAGTAGTAGCCAATACACTTAATGGAAACCCTATTTTTGATGTATTTTAAACAATCAGCAGTTCAGAAAGGAAAGTTATTTTTTCTGATGTTAATGGAGTTGCAGTTTTATTGCCCTCATTTTACAGCTTTTTGGCCACATCTACACTGTCATAAAATGCCACTTGAAGCTGTATTATGGTGGTGTGGATTGGGCCTTAGTTTCAGTGCCCACGTGACTACAAAGGTCCTCTGCTTCCATTGATATCTCTCCAGAACATCTTAACTGACAACAACAAAAACCCTGAGAGAATACAGACCTATGAGTCTAACTTCTCATTTTTTCTTTTTCTTGTATGATTGTTAACACTTTTGCCTAATGAAGAAGCCAGTGGAGCTTTGGAAGCATATGTGTTTTATGTGCATATTTTGTGCATTTTTATTGTTTCGTGGATGTTTTGTTCTCTTAAAGTATGTATGTGCGTATGTTGTCTCTGATCAGATGTATGTAACTGCATATGCATGGTCACTTCACAAGAACAGTGCCTTTTAATTTACAGAATCATAGAGTTCAAAGAGACTGCAAGGACCATCCAGTCCAACTTCCTGACATGCAGGTATACACTATCTGATATAGGAAAACTAGTCTCCTCCCACCCCAAGGTGGCCATATTTGTGTCCACTAGTTATATTTTATTTTTCCAAAATGCCAAAGACTAGCACTATGTTTGCATCCATTGAGACCAACGTTTTTCTACTATTTCATTTTCCACATCATTTTGGTTTGGTAAGTATAATATATACAAGGGCAATTAGTTTATTTATATATAATTGTTTCTCATTCTTCAAACCATATGACTGAGTGGTGAAGTTAATTCTTTCTTGTTTAAACCCATGGTGCATGTACACGGTAAAATTAATGCAGTATAACACTACTTTACTCTGATTCATTGCCATGGAGTCACAGGAGCTGTAGCTTTATAAGGTATTCAGCCTTCTCTGCCACAGCGTGCTGGCACCTCACCAAACTACAACTCCCATGATTCTGTAGTATTGAACCATGGCAGTGTCAAATTGCATTAATTCCACCATGTAGATGCACCCCCAAGTGCATTACTGTACTGCTTTCCTTCAACCCTCTTGAGAATTTGCCTTTCAAGATACTAAGATGTTTCTGAATATATTTGAGTAGTAGCTATTCTATGCTTAGTGCAACCATAGCCATTGTCAAATTAAATATTAAACATTCACAAGCTTTGTAAAAGAGAGAGAGGAGAGGAAATGCAGCAGTGAGAAAAGAACGCCCAGCAAAGCAAAGTAGGGAAAGGAACTTGTTTAAGAACAAGGAGTATTACAGGCATACGAGAATGGAGCATTTTTCATTTGTGGAATGTTGTAGACTATGCAGTCTGTTTATGGCACAGTTTTTTTACTTGGGAGCCATGCCTTTCTCCTGCAGTAACGTCATTTCTATGCACTAACCACTCCAGGCTGGAAGAATCCCAGGCACCTGGTTACCTAAATATTTGATAAAAGTGCTTAAGAACCTTAAACATGTTTGGAAACTGCAGTCAGGATTGGTGTCTATTCGATGAGATGCTATTGCAAGGAACTACAAACAAGGGAGCAATATTGCATTTTTGTTTCTTTGACTGTGGGGTATTCAATTTGGCAGAAGCCCAGGAATATCAAGTATGCCACTGCCAGAACAGTTATTCCAATAAAATCATAGAATTATAGCTTTATAGTGTGGAAGAGTCCACAAGGGCCATCCAATCCAGCTCCCTGCCATAAAAGAACACATAATCAAAGCAGTCTCGACAGATGGC